GGCACTAAACGACTGAGGAAACGATAACGGGTCCCAAGGTGGATAGAACGGCATACGCATCGCTCTGGGGGGTCAAACAGCTCCGTGTGTGCGCCCTATACGATCATGTTCTGATAGTGATTGCGCAATAGCAATAGCCCCGCCTCTCCCCACCTCTGCTGCTCACCTCCGTGTACCCCGCGCCATTGCTGATGTGTTTCGCCACCAACAACAACAACAACAACAACAATGGCGGATCGCAGAGTTGCTATCGTGCTCCGGACGCTACTGACCATGCTACAGTTCTTTGTGCAACATCTACAGCAGACTTACACATGAGGGGGGGGATCTTACTCGCTGCTTTTGTGGATATGTACTGCAGCTTCAGCGATCATGTTCTGATAATGATGAGGCAATAGCCCCGCCTCTCCCCACCTCTGCTGCTCACCCCCGCGTCAAAGTAAACTGCACACTGAATTCAGATTATTTATCTTTCTCTCGATATGGACATAAACGCGAGTGAAGTCTAATCTGACAGGACGGAGACACCTCTCAAACTACCTAGTTATACATATGTTTATTTTTACTGTCGGCCGGGTCACTCATTACTGGATCAGCTGCTGCATGAGACAGACACTGGCGCTGTCCGGAGAGAGGGAGGAAAAAGAGAGGCTCCGTGTATTTGTATTATTATATTATATAGAGTCGTTATTCATTTGTTTTAAAGCTCAATAAATAACAAAGAAGACCTTTGACCGGCACTTTTATAATTTTGTCGGAAGATTTAAACTTTAATACACGTTGACTGGCGAGAAACTCTGCCCGGTTCCCTCGGCCCCCACCGCGGAGAATAAACAGAAGGGCAACCATGACAACCATGCTTCTTCGCTGCTTTTGTGGAGGAAGTTACAGCGCCACGTACAGGCTCCTGCATGTACTGCAGCTTCTCCAGCGGTTGGAGCTAAACAGAGCGGTCTCGTGTGGACAGACACTATCCGGATAACTATTGCGTGTGGACGGAAGCTTGTTTGCGGTTGCGTTAATCCTATGCGTTTAGCCGTTTTCGTCCTCGTGTGGCCGGGGCCTAAGACAAACAAGTCAAAGAAAACAAGACTTTGGTAAGATCCTATATGTTATAACAATCAAACTGATGTTCTCCTTCAGTCAGATATGGTCGATTAGGGTAAAGAGAGAAGCTCTGGAGAAGCCATATGTAATAGTTGTATTTACTTGTGGATAAAATAACCCTAGAACATGTAGAACATGTCTAAATCTGGTGACAAATATTGAAATATACAAGTTTGAAGACAGAGCTTTCGATTAGGAGCTACAGGAGAATTCCTAAACGTTAAGAAAAATAACTTCCACAGCCAAATGAATGCCAGAGTGAGTGAAAGTGAAACAGAAATGATGTCCGTACACACTTTGCGTTTGAGTGGAAGCCTAATTTGTGAGACATGTGGGGAGAGATCTTACTCTCCTTTTACTGGCACTGTGTGGAAAACAAGCCATTTGATGAGACTATTGACAGCTGGGTTTAAAATCAATAATAATCAAAGTGAGGAATAGGAACTGAAATGGAAATTAGAGCCTTCAAAAGTCTGGAAAGATGTGAAGCAGAACATCTGTCATCAACATCCTGTATATGAATATATTCCAGCTGCTAGAAGACAATCATAAACACACATTACTTCACATTTCCTACATTTTAATGTGACAGCTCAAATATTTACCCCCAAAAATACAGATGTGAAACACGTGTGAGAAACTACAACCTGTTTATCATTTAAATAAAATTAAGATGATTTTATAGTCATTTATATCTCCATAATGTATTGAATGTTTATTCCTCACAGGAACATCCAACACACTTTCCTTTATGCCGCTTTAAATCAAGTAAATATTCCTAACTCTCCTCCATCTCCTTAAAACAACACATTGTGTGCGTGCGTGCGTGCGTGTGTGTGTGTGTGTGTCTGCTGTGTTTGCATCACTGCAGAGAGGAAATATTTAGACGTCTGTCATTGAGTGTGTGATCTGGTGTGTGTTACAGCGAGGTGTGTGTGTGACAGGTGTGTGTGATCTGGTGTGTGTTACAGCTGTGTGTGTGTGATCTGGTGTGTGTTACAGCGAGGTGTGTGTGTGACAGGTGTGTGTGATCTGGTGTGTGTTACAGCTGTGTGTGTGTGTCAGCTTCACATCTGTGACCATGAGCCTGGATGTGTTTCTGTGGGTGAGAGAGGAGATCTGACTGAAGGGATTAATCACCGACGCTTTATAAATAGCCTCAGACGGGACTTTTGTTTTGAAGGAACATGGAGGAATTCAGCTCACACTTCCTGTTACAAAGAGACTCCAGCTTTTTGTCACATTTCTCTCAAATTCTCCCCGATTACAATTTCAGCACATTCGTCTGCCTTTTTCAAAAATAAAAGCCCTAAAGTGTTGTTGTAGGCTTAAAGGAAGCCCAGTATGAAGGTTGTTTTCCAAAATAAAAGCCCCATAGAGTAACTGTATCCCTAGTGGAAGCTTAGGATGGCTATTTTTCAAAATAAAAGCCCCATAGAGGAAACATACCCTTGCAGGAAGATAGGAGGCATGTTTTTCAAGTAAAAGCCCCATACGATAGTAACTGTATACTAACAGAAGAATCAGAATGAGGCTTGTTTTTCAAAATAAGAGCTCCACAGTGTAAATGATTAACTATACTATAAGGAATTATCAAGATGAGGCCTATTTTTCAAAATAAAAGTCCCATAGTGAAAATGAATTCTTATAGGAATCTCATATAGAGGTTTGTTTTTCAAAATAAAAGCCCAATGGACTGTTGCAGGGCAGAATTATGCATTCATTTATACAAATGTCTTCAAAAATGTAAATGTATGCCAAAGATTCACCCACGTTCTCGCCATAATAATTCTGTTATTACACACACACACACACACACACACACACACACACACACACACACATCACACACACACACACACACACACACACACACACACACACACACCACACACACACACACACACCACACACACAACACACACACAACACACCACACACACACACACACACACACACACCACACACACACACACACACACACACACACACACACACACACACCACACACACACACACACACCACACACACACCACACACACACACACACACACACACACACACACACACACACACACACACACACACACCACACACACACACACACACACACACACACACCTCTGCCAAAAAACGGTTTATAATCTTAAGTTATGGGAGAAATACAGATTTCATTACAGAAACACGAGCTATTAGAGTCCAGGGCAGGGGTTCCCAACCTTTTCCCCCCTAAATGATTCCTATTGGAAGTTGCGCCCCCCCCCACACACACACACACACAAGGGGGGGGATGCAAGTAACAGCGGTAATTAAAGTTTAAAAGTCTCAAATTAAATTAAAGGACGGCGGAAGTGGAAACAATTCACAAAGGGATTAAACGGTTTAAAACACGTGCTCAAAGTAAGCCGGATTTCGCCGATGTGTTTATGTGGATTCAAAAGTCCTAAATAATCTACAAAATGGAGGAGACCGATCTGATCGGAGCGACTGTGACAAATAATCCATCTGAAACCGGCATGGACAATGACTGTGTTTTAAACATCATTTTAATAATTAATCAATTATTTGTTATGCTTTATTGTAATGTAGAGACAAGGCTTTTAGTGACAATCATGTATTGCGTTACAATTATATGTAAAAAAAATATGATATTTGGCCTCAAATCATCTGAGGGCTGGCGCCCCCCTGCGATCTTTGGGGGGGCCGCCCCCCAGGTTGGGACCCACTGGTCCAGGGGGTTATAATTCATGTATGCATGCATTTTTATAGGGGATCAGAGTAAATCATGCCTACATGTGGGATGATTCAGCGTGATATCAATATTTGAATACAAAATACATTCTTTATATCATTGAATTGTCACCTGGTGCATTGGGTTTCTCTGAGCAGGAATAAAGACATTTCTTCCATAAAGCTGCATCGAAATGCAGGAAATTAAGAGTTCTGACTTCTTTTTTTTGCTGTAAGAAAGTCCTCGACAAACTACTGTCGGTATAAAACCTTCACCCTTGGTCATTGGGGCGTCTAAACGTGTTTGCAATAAGTAGAAGTCCTTCCAAGCTTAATATATGTTTTATAATCAGCTACAAGTGGCCTTACTTGAGCCTCTCTAGCATCCTCTGCTGCAGAGGTGTACAGAAACCTTTACCTTCCTGTAGTTGGTGCTCCTCCGGGCGATGTGCTCCACCCTCTCTGAACACATGGAGCTGAAGCGAATCTGCAGATCTTCGGGCAGAATATCACAGCTGGAGCTCAGCCGGGCGCACATCTGCACCAACGTGTCATCATTACGCGCCAACGCCTCCAGAATCTGAGAAGAGAGAGAGGATAATAATAATACTGATAACAGGGTTCATACACTTTTTCACCAATGACTTTCCATGACTTTCCAGGACTTCTCCAGGACTTCTCCAGGACCTTTACCTAATTTCCCATGCCCAAAGAAATGACGCTTTCTCAGCGTTCCACTGAAAATGGTTTATTTGAACATGGAACAGGAAAATAAGGTCCGGAACATGTTGTGCCGATCTGACAAATCAAACAGTAGGCTTACTAGCTTCTACAGGCTAAAGCAACTCAAATCTCTCACCAGCTAAACACCTCGTTACTATACATACAGTACTTATTATCATTATAGTATTACTATTTCGGCGATTAGATAAAATATAAATTATATTTGATGCAACTTTCGTTACATTTCCATGACTTTTCCAAAACTTGGGGGAAAATATTGTTTCCAGGTCCTGGAATTAGCATTTGGAATTTCCATGACTTCTCCAGGTTTCTAATGACCGTAAGAACCCTGTCATAATAACACACGTTACTCATATAGCACCTTTCATGCTTGACGCAGCCCAAAGTGCTTAATGAATGAGCTCCCATTGACATCAGGACAGCAGAAAGCTTACACACCTTCCAGACTGAAAACTCATCTCTTTCGACTCCACTTCCAGCGATAGAACTATTAACAAAGCACTTATATACTAATAAAGGTCTGGCTTATCTAAAGCCAGTTGAGTAGCACTTGAAATGTTTGGCTCTATGAAACCTGATGTACTTTATGATTCTGTTTTCTTCAAGGTTGTATCTTGTTGGTCGAACGCACTTATTGTAAGTCGCTTTGGATAAAAGCCTCAGCTAAATGTAATGTAATGCAATGCAATGCAATGTAATGTAATGAAATGTAATGTAATGTAATGTAATGTAATGAAATGTAATGTAATGTAATGTAATGTAATGTAATGAAATGTAATGTAATGTAATGTAATGTAATGTAATGTAATGTAATGTAATGTAATGAAATGTAATGTAATGTAATGTAATGTAGTGTAATGTAATGTAATGTAATGTAATGTAATGAAATGTAATGTAATGAAATGTAATGAAATGTAAATGTAATGTAATGTAATGAAATGTAATGTAATGTAATGTAATGTAATGAAATGTAATGTAATGAAATGTAATGTAATGTAATGAAATGTAATGTAATGAAATGTAATGTAATGTAATGTAATGCAATGTAATGCAATGCAATGCAATGCAATGTAATGTAATGTAATGAAATGTAATGTAATGAAATGTAATGTAATGTAATGTAATGAAATGCAATGTAATGCAATGCAATGTAATGCAATGTAATGTAATGTAATGAAATGTAATGTAATGAAATGTAATGTAATGAATTGAAATGTAATGCAATGCAATGTAATGTAATGTAATGAAATGTAATGCAATGCAATGTAATGTAATGTAATGCAATGCAATGCAATGTAATGTAATGTAATGTAATGTAATGCAATGCAATGACAGAAATGACAATAACAAATGAGGAACGTAATTAAAAACAAGACGTAAACAATCACTGAACCATAAAACAATAAAACATGAACCCTGACGCGACTAAAACATTCTAATTACTCCAAATGATAAACCAAATTAAAAAGATACGTCTTTAATTTACTTTTGAAGATTCCAATTGAGGTTGCTGTTCTAAGACCAGCTTGAATGCACTCTAGGAACGTCGAAAGGCAAGTTTATTCATATAGCACTTTTCTGTACGCGGCAATTCAAAGTGCTTTACAAAACAAAAGACTTTTTAGGAATAAATACATTAAAAACACATTATACAATTTTACAACAGGCACTACAAAGCAAAGATAATTAAAATAAACACCACAGGTAAACAATACATGTTTAAAAGGCATACTGTAGTGCGAATATGATCAGCTCAATTAAAAGCAGCCAAAGAGATATGTTTTTAGTCTTGATTTAAAAATAGTAAGCGTTTCTGCGGACGTGCATGTTGGGTAGTTTGTTCCAGAGTGTCGGGCATAACAGCTAAACGCTGTCTCTCCATGTTTTGATTTTACTCTCGGAGCCGATAGCAGACCCGTCCCAGAACACCTGAGGCACCTCGATGGCTCGTAATTATGTAGGAGTTCAACAATATACTTTGGTCCTAAACCATGTAATGATTTAAAAACTAGCAATAGTACTTTAAAATCAATTCTTTGGCCGACTGGAAGCCAGTGTAGAGACTTCAGAACCGGACTGATGTGATCCACTCTGTTAGTGTCAGTGAGGACTCGAGCAGCAGCGTTCTGGATCAGCTGCAGCTTCCTGATAGGTTTGTTAGTGAGACCTGTGAAGACACTATTGCAGTAGTCGAGTCTACTGAAGATAAAAGCATGGACAAGCTTTTCTAAATCCTGCTGTGACATTAGTTTTTTAATCCTCGATATGTTCTTCAGGTGATAGTAGGCAGACCTGATGACTGTTGTAATGTGGCTGTTCAGGTCTGAGTCCATCTCTACACCCAGATGAGTTTATGAGTGGTGTTGTAGTCTGCTGACTGAAGCTCTGCGATTACTTTTAATCGGTCCTTCTTTGCTCCAAAAACAATGATCTCAGTTTTTTGTTTGTTCAGTTGGAGAAAGTGAAATAAAAGTGAGATATCGGAGGACCTGAGTGAGATATCGGAGGACCTGAGTGAGATATCGGAGGACCTGAGTGAGATATCGGAGGACCTGAGTGAGATATCGGAGGACCTGAGTGAGATATCGGAGGACCTGAGTGAGATATCGGAGGACCTGAGTGTCCTGCAGGGTGATCAAATGAGACCGTCTTAAAGATGTTGAGGCAAGGTTATGTAAAGCTTTGTAAATCATTAAAAGCACTTCTGAAGGGAACCAGTGTAGAGATTCCAGCACAGGAGAAATGTGGTCTCTTTTGAAACCCTGTCCGCAGCATTCTGAACTCATTGCAATTTCTTTATGGATGTTTTAAGAAGACGAGGAAACAGAGAATTGCAATAACCCAAGCGACTAGTAATAAAAGCATGTGCAAACATTTCAGCAGCGTTTCAACACAAAGCACGGAGGAAACGCTGCAGGCAGCAATTCCTCTGATATCTATAATGTCCATCCATCTTCTCCCGCTTATCCGTGGTCGGGTCTCGGGGGTAGCAGTTCCAGCAGAGAGCCCCAAACGTTCCTTCCCCCTCATCAACCAGCTCTGACTGGGGGATCCCAAGGCGCTCTCAGGCCAGAGTAGAGATATAATCCCTCCACCTGGTCCTAGGTCTACCCCTTGGTCTCTTCCCAGCTGGACGTGCCTGGAACACCTCCCTAGGGAGGCGCCCAGGTGGCATCCTAACTAGGTGCCCGAACCACCTCAACTGGCTCCTTTCGACGTGAAGGAGGAGCGGCTCAACTCCGAGTCCCTCCCTGATGACTGAACTTCTCACCTTATCCCTAAGGGAGACGCCAGCCACCCTGCGGAGGAAACCCATCTCGACCGCTTGTATCCTTCATCTGGTTCTTTCGGTCATGACCCATCCTTCATCTATCTAAAATGTGCTTTTCATAAATCCACGGAGATCAACAGAGGAAGAAGAAAGAGGAAAGGTCCCCGCAGGAAGTCCCTCATACTCAGTGAGATCTCAGAGGACATGCGGGGCAGGTGTTTGTAATAATAATGACTTCCAGGGAACGACTCGTTTTATTCCTCTGCATGTCGTTAGCTTTCATTTAAGATGAAGGTCTCTGCTAATTCACCACCAAGAGGAGATGTGTGCGGGAAATCCTCTTGATGTTATAAATCAATACTGAAGGCATGTGGACGTGCATTAACACAGTGTGCATGTGGACGTGCATTAACACAGTGTGCATGTGGACGTGCATTAACACAGTGTGCATGTGGACGTGCATTAACACAGTGTGCATGTGGAGTGCATTAACACAGTGTGCATGTGGACGTGCATTAACACAGTGTGCATGTGGACGGGCATTAACACAGTGGGCATGTGGACGTGCATTAACACAGTGTGCATGTGGACGTGCATTAACACAGTGTGCATGTGGAGTGCATTAACACAGTGTGCATGTGGACGTGCATTAACACAGTGTGTGGAAGTGCATTACACAGTGTGCATGTGGACGTGCATTAACACAGTGTGCATGTGGACGTGCATTAACACAGTGTGCATGTGGACGTGCATTAACACAGTGTGCATGTGGACGTGCATTAACACAGTGTGCATGTGGACGTGCATTAACACAGTGTGCATGTGGACGTGCATTAACACAGTGTGCATGTGGACGTGCATTAACACAGTGTGCATGTGGAGTGCATTAACACAGTGTGCATGTGGACGTGCATTAACACAGTGTGCATGTGGACGTGCATTAACACAGTGTGCATGTGGACGTGCATTAACACAGTGTGCATGTGGACGTGCATTAACACAGTGTGCATGTGGACGTGCATTAACACAGTGTGCATGTGGAGTGCATTAACACAGTGTGCATGTGGAGTGCATTAACACAGTGTGCATGTGGACGTGCATTAACACAGTGTGCATGTGGAGTGCATTAACACAGTGTGCATTGGAGTGCATTAACACAGTGTGCATGTGGACGTGCATTAACACAGTGTGCATGTGGACGTGCATTAACAACAGTGTGCATGTGGACGTGCATTAACACAGTGTGCATGTGGACGTGCATTACACAGTGTGCATGTGGACGTGCATTAACACAGTGTGCATGTGGACGTGCATTAACACAGTGTGCATGTGGACGTGCATTAACACAGTGTGCATGTGGACGTGCATTAACACAGTGTGCATGTGGACGTGATTGTTGTGGGATTCAAAGATTAAAAAGCGTTTAAAATGCCATGAAAAAGCACTGTTAATAAATCAGTTATTAATGAGACTACATTAAGGATTTGTGTGGTATTTAAACGTAAAGAAATGTGCTTTAAAACTTGAGGAAAATGCCATAAAAAGTAATAAATTATTTCCTATTT